AATAAAATGTTTATTGAATTTTAAAATAATTTCTAACTATACAAACATGACCAATTTAGCCTTAGAGTATTACATTCTCTAATTTAATCCCTTGACTATACATAAATAATCCTACTTTGGTCTTTGAGGGATCAATTTAAATCGATTTTATATAGTTAGGGATGAAATTGGAAAAAATGTAATACTTTGGGGCTAAATTGGTCATATATGAATAATTGGGGATCACTTTAAGATTTAAAGTTTCTATTAGAAACAAAAACTAATAGTGATTATGAATAACATTTGCATAAAATTGAGTATAAATATATGATGTTGATTAGATTTGTGCGGTAATATTATCTTTAAATCCAGCGATCTCCTATGTACCTTTCCAACAATCAAGTCAAGATCAACATTTATGCTTACATTTTTATCTTGTTGTTTTGCTTTATAATCTGTCTTTGAGCATACAAAGTTTTCATCAATATCACATTTCCCAAAATATGATTCAATTTGGTGCCTTCGTATGTAAATATGTGGTGTGATTGTAACATTAGTAGGAAGACATTATTTCCTAAAAGAACAGTTTGGCAAATCTCTTAGAATTCCTTATTTTCTCCTGTACTCCAAATATGCCTTTTATTATTACATGTTGAAGTGATGAATATGCCTTGTAGATTATTTTGATTCAACCTTTTATTAGATGAATGCCTCCTACAAAATCTGTTAATGATAACACGTTCTTGGTTAAGGCTTAAGAAATCACCATTGTTGAGGATATTAATTTCAAATACTTAAAATTTTCCTGTTTCTGAATATGTTAAATTCTGAACATCATATAATAAAAACTATACAAATAAAAGCCTTTGAATATATAAGAACATTTTCAGCTTGAACCAAAATTTTACAATATATTGTTGCTTGATTCCCTAGTTCTGATTACGAGCATTTTTATTCCGGAATGCTTGTTTTTGAGGGGAAATAAAAAAGACCTGAAGATTTTATTTTGAGGGAAAAAAAGAAAGAATAGAAACTAGCATTTTCCATGATTTTCAAAACACTGTTATAGATATGTTTTTATACATTTGAAAGTGATCTTCAAAAGTCGATGTTACCATAGTTTTGCACGTGCGGGTGAGCATGTGCACACACAACACACGCGTTCTGTATTTAGAAATTATTATGAATGGTCAACAGCTTAAAATTTTTTTTAAACATAACCAGTGACAATTTAATTTTTATTAATACGGACAATTTTGAAGTAAAGTTGGTTTTAATGTGTGCTTTTATTTTGTAAAATTGAATGTTGTTCAAACTTCTTTATAACCCCTGTTTGTCTTTACTTTTTAAGGCACTCAAGATGCTATACGTTGCAACAACGAGTGGTTTTGTCAGTGGAGTTTCATTGGAGGTATTGTTAAGCTTTTATCATCTGTGCTTGAACATTTTGTGGAACAATTCAAAGCTTGATTATTTTTGGTTTTAGTATTTTCTGTTGTCGTAGACTAAAGATACTTAACTTTTTTTTTGCTAAGAATCAATCATAATGCTAATGTAGGTTTTCAGTTAATTTAATGAATAAATTTGTGTTAAATTTTGTTCATCTTAGACCGCAAAACACATATATCAATTACTTTTCAAGTGGTGCATTATTCATTTCTAGTACTTTTTGAATGATTTAATTTTTGTATGCTTTTGGGTATTGTGAAACATAGACTCATGTAACATCATATAAGTAATTCAAAAAAGATTTGTTTGACACCGTTATCAGGTATGCATATTCGATTGAAAACCTCAAAAAGATGACAAGGCATTTCAATTTTCAAATAGTATTCATTATATCAATTTTAATGCAAATTAATCTACTAATTTCTTGAATTAATTGGCTAATTAGACTAATTGTTTTGATTGATTAATTGAAATGCCTTGTCTTATCCACGAGAAGGATATCATCAGCAAAAAGCATACACAATGTACATCGTACATCCTCCTAATGTACATCCTCCTATAAATGTCCAGTAAGACCATCCGTAACTAAAGCAAAAAGATACGGGCTTAAAGCCGATCCCTGATATAATCCAACAGAAATAGGAAAATATTTGGTCAGTCCTCCTTCAGTTCGAACTAGGAACAACCCTAGTAACAACTCTAGTATACATATCTTTAATGACTTGAATATAAGTCCTATCAACACCTACGCTCCAAAGGACATCTCTTGGAACCTTATCGTAAGCTTTTTCTAAATCAATAAAAATCAAATGTAGATCCTTCTTGTTATCTTTGATCTTCTCCATCAAACCTCTCAATAAATGTATAGCTTCCAT